TTTTTAATTAGGGAATGTCAAATAAAGTAAGATATTCTCTTATTAAATAGAACGTTCCTGCAGGAGTTATATTAGTATTTAAAAGTAATAGTATTGATGAGTTAGTTCCTTTAGTTGTACCTGCTTGGGGAGTATCTCCTGAGATTGCAAAATTTTTGTTAGTGGGAACTAGCAATTTATTTTGTTTATTATCTAATACTAGTATGCATACTATAGATACCAAGCTTTATTATGGTTTATATAGGTGGGAAGTACATCAATCCTTTTAGAGTTTACGTTTTAAAATTACTAAGGGTACAGATATGCTTGAGTCTGTAATAATGTGTAAATTGAAAAATAATCAAAATTTTGATAAATTAGAATCAACAATATCTGAAAAAAAATTTAATGGTTCCCATAAAGATTTAAATTTAAAAAATTTTAATTTATAAATTAGACTACTTTATAATCAATTCTCTTAACAAATATTTTCTTACATTATTTAGTATAGCTATCACCTTATTATAATAATATAAATTAAGAGTTTAATGAAAGAAAAAAACTATCATTAATGGAATAAATAATTCAGAAATAATAAAATTAAGAAATAATATTTTATAATATATATATATACATAGATAGAACTACGCTAAAAGTTTGATGTGTATAAATTAATAAAAAAAAAACACTACGTATTAAATACTTTATGTTAAAACGAGAACTACATGAGGTTTGATCCTTTAGAGGTATGTAGGCAGCGAAAGTGCAACTTCAATTAATATTACACAATTTGGATATATACTGGTGTAATACAAACATTCAAATTTTACCATTATTATAGTATACTATTTATTCTGATTGAATATAAAAATTCTAAATATTATAAAAATTATAAAATTACCTTTATACAACTGTGTCAGTAAAATCTAAACATTTAACTTTTACCAATCTTACTTTAACCTAATTATTTCCCCTTGTATTTTAAGTTATAAATTTAACCAATATAGTTTTATTTGGATTTTATTTCAAAATATAACCATTATAACTAATAGGAACCTTTAGTATGCGGGCCCATCTGGTGAAACCTAAATACAACTTGTTAAATCTATAAATAATTACCGTAATTATTAAAAAATTGTGTAGTACTAGTAATAATCTTTATAATTTACTATTGGTACAAAATAAATTATAAGTAATCTATATTTTTAAAGTTAACCGTAGATAAACCCAAGATTTGGGATATGGTTAGTAGATTAAAGATATATTCTCATATTGGTTAATTATTAAGATTGCCGATATACTCGTATTAATAGGAGTAAGTGAAGATTGGTATATTTATAATACTGTTGTAGTATTTTATGTAGCTACATGCCGCCATAACCATAATATAGTTTGACAATATTGACTAAAAAAAAATAAGTTCTGTATACAGTAGGTTTAAGTAGTGTATATTTAATATTGGTTAACAAAATCAATAATCCAAATACTTGTTTGATTTAATAATTTCGGTAAAAAAGTAATGTTTATGTTACACCGTTATTGATAGTATAAATAGAATATTAGGATATTTATGTTACCAGTATTATATTAGTTAGCTTACTACTAGTACCACACAATTTTTTAATTATTACCGTAATCACAACTAATATTGAATTAGGCTTGATTTCAGATTTTAAACCTTAGGTTGGATAACTGAGTATGTATAATTAACCATTATTATACCAAATAGGTTTAAAATAGTAATACATTAATATAAAAACTAAAACCTTACCCTTATTAATTAAATATAGCGGTTGCATTAATTGTAGACACCTTATACTAATATTAAATATCTATTTGATTTTTACACCAAAATTCAAATGTATAAGTTAAATAGGGTGTAATACTTAGATTATAAAATTACCATTATTGTATACAGTATAACCCTTTTTTAATGTTACCATAATTTAATTTACCTTATTACTTTACCCTCTTATATACAACATATAAATAACCAATCTTATATCTATTAATCTTACTATGTGTTTTTAACTATAATAACAAATATTACATACTTAAAGTTTAGACTAGTATAATATAAATCTTAAAATATTTATCATTATTAGTTGTATATGATATCTATAAAATTCTAAGTAAAAAACTAAGATAGTAGGTGTACCAAAGGCTTATAAATAGTACCAATATATATTTATAAGTAAGTGTATAAATATAGGTGTAGTACTAAGTATCAAAATAGGTGTGTTGATATTTATAATTATATACAACCAATATTATAAATCTTTAATCATTATCCATACTATATAAATATTAAAATATACCATATTTAATTACTTAGGTGGTGTTACTTAAATTGTCACCAGTATTCAATTTGTAGGGTAATAATTAAACTGATAAAACCCTAAGTAAATACCAATATTAATATTACTCGACCAATACTTGCAGTATATAGATATTTTAAGTTTACCACTATTAAATAGTATATACATATTTGTATTATTACCAATGTTTAATTAGTATGATCTATATACACTGTCTATTAAAAATGAAATCTGAAACCGACCATTATTAGATAGTATGAAGAATTTTAACTTTTTTACACTTTCTTTACCAATATTTTATAATTCTTATCTGTATTAGTTTAATATAGACCTATAAATCTAACCATTATTATACATAAGTATTACACTATGTATATACAATACCAGATGTTATATTATTATACCAAATTATTATTATCATTACTTAATTTATATTATAAGATTATATATAGATATAAATATATTTAAGGTTATGGTTCAGAATACTAGTAGAGTCTATCAATATACACCTAATCTACACCCTATTTTATTCCAAATTTAATAATAATATATATAAAAACATAACCAATATTTTATTAACCTATTCAATCTTCATAGTGTATAAATCTTTAAGTTTTACCAGTATTCTTAACTTATACTATAATATGAAATTTTACCAATATATTACTATTATAACCATTATTACATAACTCCTATTTATACCAATATATTTTAAACATTTAACTTATACCAATATTAATAGGTGATTTTTTGGTATTTATAATATGTATAAATTAGTTGTAATTTAAAAGTATAATAAGTAGAACACGGTAGGCTTAGGTATATACTAATTAAATAAAAGAAGGTGTATATATTGTATAAGTTACTGGTTTTTTTATATTATTTAAGATTTTTTCTTACTCTCATTTCCCATGAGTAAAAACTGTATGTTCTTGTCCACAGTAATCATTTAAGAGTTTGGTAATTTTTATTTTTTCACGTATGTTAATGTATAGATTGCATGGTGTTAAATTTAACGAAGAGATGTTGAAAAAAGACTTATATGAAGATTTGGATGGTAGCGAAGATTGGTCTGCTAGTAGTAGTTAGTATAATACACGAGATGAGGCTTTAATCCATGATAAATGTGAAGTAATTTATAATCTTAATCGTAGAATATCATGTCCATTTTCATATGTTGATACTTGGTATTAGTATACTATTTTAGTTCCAGAATATGCTACTTCTAATTATCATAAATCTGAGAAAATAATCTCTATTGAAATTTAGTGATTTTTGATATTACCATAGAACTACGTTTAGCTTGATTCTTTAGGGATACGTAAGCAGCTTTCTTTAGTTCAGCTAATTAATTTTTGTTAGTACTATCCAGATTATATAGGTGTATTATCAATATCTGTGTTATGTTAAATTTATGTATACCTTTTAATACGATGTAAACCAAAAATACTCTATGTTCACTTCAAAAGTAATATAACATTAAATTATAGCCTACTTATAGGTGTAATGATTTTCCTAGTAGTTGTAGTATAAATGTAGTGAAACACAAATATCCAAATAAAGGTGGTGTAAAAGTATACAAAAGGGTAACAACTCAGGTGTTAACTAATTATGTTATAATATTGGATATACTACTAACTATAACTCCATAGATATGATTACCTATATATATCACCAATTCTAAAACTACCATATATAATCTACCATATGTTAAATTGTGAAGCTTTTTATTAGATTAAAGAGTATGTATACTATAACTAAATTAAAATAGGCAGTACTGATAATAAGAAAACTACATGAACGTATAATATTTAACCAACGTTAAGAGTACACAAACGTCAACTCTATTTTAAAGTTTCTTATTAAAAAAGTATAATTAGTAAATATAGTCCTTACATTAGTTCTTAAAAGGTAGCACATATACTATAGGTTTAATTTGCCACATTGCGTTAAATAAAAGTAATGTATTATAAAGGTATTATTTAGGACCATTTATAGTAATGATTAAAAGTAGTTAATCTAATATTAAAAAATGTAGGTATCACAAAGTGCCAGGGCTAGCGTAGCGGTAACAGTAGAAAAAAAAATATATAGTGTATAAAAGGACCAATTGTTAAAAAAATCTAAGTTAAATTAGAGGTAAGTAGTACACAATTGGAAGATCCACACAAAAATTATAAGGTATAATAAATGTTAAACACACTAGTATACAAAATTTACCATTCCCTTAAATTAAGGAATAAAAAAGGTAAATTAGAGGTAAATATATATTTTTGAGGTTCACTAGCTCAAAATGTGTAAGGGTATAAAAGGAATAGTATATATATAAGAAAGCAATTACCTAAGTAATAATTATGTAAAGGTTGATTATATTATAAGTATTGTATTTAGGTAGTTACGTTTAAGAGTAAAATATTTTAAATTATAGGTATGTATTAATTAAAAAGTAATGTAGTGTTATAATTGCATAAATAGTGTAGAGATGAAAAGAAGAAGTTAATATAAGTATCATAATTAACACAAGTTTAAATTTAGAGGACAAAAGTATACTAAATATCCAAATGTGTTCGTCACTAGAAGGAGGTAGTACTCTTTTAAAAAGAATACATAACAAAATTATATGTTTAACTAAAATAAAGTGTATGTAACAGTATAATAGGTAAACTAGTAATGAAAATGTTATAGCCCTATATATGCATAAAATTTTTAAGGGTTAGGGGTAGATAGAATCGAACTACCACTTTCGGCTTTGGAGACCACTGTTCTACCATTGAACTATACCTAAAATAAATTAAATAAAAGAATCTTAAAAATAAACTAATACTTAAAAGTGGAAAAAAATATAAAGTAATGTAAAAGTTGGAATAATTAGAGGTAGTAGGTTGTTGTAGTAAAATATAGGCTAAGATCTAATATACTAAAAATATATAAAATTTTAAAAAATAGGTATAAGAAGTCGCAGTAATAAAATGTATAAGTTTAACTTACAACGTTTTACCCTTCACAAAAAAATAGTAAAAGGTAAAAATAGAATTACAATATTAAACAACGATGTGGCCTCAATGTTTACATTATATATTAGACGGGTATAAATAATTCCCTTTTTGGTTACTAAAGCGTAAAAAGTCCTATATTATAATCTCTTACATAGATCTACGAGTTACCCACAAGCTTACATATATAGAAACCAGGATAACATAAACAACACAACAATCCATTTACACTACTATTTAAATAGGATACTATATATATATTGAAGGAAGAGGATACGTGAAAAAAAAAACTACTTATACGTATGTAATACCTCAAATTTAGCCTACTTAGGAATACTAAGGGAAATACACCTAATCCACTTTAAACCACCTCCTACTACTAAGATACGCCTACTATAAATTGTATATGAGACAAAATGTATACTAATGTTTTCTATTACTCCTTAAATTTTACTATTAATACTGCCTCCTCTTTATACTTTAGATTCTTACACAACCTACGTCTATTTTTTTTCCTACTCCAATTTATAATATTAGGGATCCAAAGTAATTCTAATCATACATCTACTTCTTTTATTTATATACCCTCCTAAAGCGGAATGGAGCACAGCGTAACGTAGCGACCTTCACCACACCTATTTATTGTATTTTACCCACAACTACAGCTTTTTTTACAACATATATTTTAAAAGAAACAGCTACACCATGTTTAATTTTTATACACAAAGAAAGCGAAGTGCAACGGAAGTGTAGCGAAGCGATATTTTCGCACACATAATATTTTAAAAAGTAGGCTCCTTTTAGTCGCAGATATGTAACCGGTAACTATATTTTTATACTTATTATAAACGAAATAGATAAATTTGGGGTAATAGTAGGTATGTATAGGGAATATTTATACTAACAATTAATTCAATTTTTTACTAATCCAAATTTAAACTAATATGAGTCGTGTCGATATACTACAAAATATAGACCAATTTTTATAATCTAGAGTAGTTGTTTTTAGTCGTAGTCGTTTTTGAGTCTCGATACTACAATTTTATAAATTAAACTTTTTATAAATAGATCAAATTCGTATATATTAGAATATAGGCACCCGATGGTCGCAGTATTTAAATCTGGATTTCGTACCGTATAAATTCAAAGATATCAATTTTTAGTTGTAGTCGTATAAATTAAAAATAGATCCAAATTTTAAGTAGTATCAAATTCAATAATTAACTAATACAAATTTTGGGTATTTTTTAGTAATAGTCTGTGAACGAAGCGTAGTGGAAGCGAAGCGAAGTGAACCTCTACAACAAATTAATTCTATTTTTGATTGATTAGGCTCCTTCATTTACATTCAGTCGCAGTTTAAATTCATATTAAGTAATTAAACGTATTCAAATATTAAATCGAGAGTAGTAGTTTTTTAAATAAAGAAATTATAAAATAAAGATCTACTTTAGGCTTCTTCAATTTTAAACTAATACTTTTCTATCTATTTTGATATCCAATTTTAGACGTATTTGGAGAGTATAGATTATGAGTCCTAGTCTAATTTTGGGTGTAGTATTTCAAATACAGATATTATAAAATAAACTTTTATATCCAAATTTAGATGTCTGTATTCAGTTTTTAATATTTTAATTGTGAACGAAAACGGAATGAACCACTACTAACTACAAAATATTTTCTTTAATTAGGCTCCTACGTCGCAAATATTTTTGTTAGCGTATGCTAACCTAAACTAATTATATATAGTTTAAATAGGCTTCTATTCAGTCGCAGTTTAAAACCTAAAATAAGTCAGACCAGATGAAATATAAATTATTCGGATAATATCTTATATATTAGATATAATGTAGTAGTATAAAGGTAACAAGAAATTCACATCTCTACTTTTTAAAAATATCAAATAATTAGTAGGTGTAACCCTCCGTACACACTTCCTACGTTACAAAATATTATAAAAGTTATATAAAAAACATACGAGTATAATAGGTTCTGTAACAGTTGTGTAAAATATTGATAAATATAAAGTTGGTATGCATAGGTTCACATTAAAATACTATAATATACAAAAGCTTACTAATAACTACTAATTTCAATACACTGGTGTGGACCTCCCTTTATAATATATGTTATATATACTTTAATATAAATTTTCCTTATTTTTTCACTTTTTTATAACGATATATTATTTTTTATACATATACTAAATTTTAAGATTTTTCTTATAATTTATTCAGAAATAGAAAGCGTAGTGTAGCGTAGCGTAACAGAGCGACGGGTATACTTTTTATTATTCGGCTTTTAGGGTATTTTATTTACCGGTGGTTTCAGTACCTCTTTTTTGAGGATAAATTATGAAATAGTTCACAATATGCGAAGCCTCTCTACAATACCCATTATGCGGAAATTTGGGTAACATTATTCATAAATACACACCGCATACTACCTATTTTTTGGGCGGAATTACACGTAGATTGTACACTTTTTCTACTACTTTTTATTCGTAATGTAATTTAGAGGGTAATAAAAAAACCGGATAAATACAGGTATATTATGCGTATTACACAGTTATACAAAAAACAGCTGCCACCTACTTCATTTTGAGAGTAATACCACTATTTTATACTGGTTTCAGCTTTTTTAAATTATATTTTATTCGGAAGCGGAGTGTAACGAAAGTGTAACGTAGCGTCCTTTTATATACTTTGAAATTTTACACATACTGCGACTGTAACATACATTTTTATTTAATTGGATACTACCTTTTTATAACCTATACATTGGAATTTATATTAAAATTTAAACTAGTGTACCTCTATCTATACTACTACCTAGTGTAACGTTTGGTTGAGTTTAAGCTATATTCTACTTTTTGTGTACTACTATACCTCTACTTTACAACATTATTTTTAAAATTAATTGGGTAAAATTTGGATACTTGGAGCTTACTCTCACCAATTTCTATAATTAAATTTTATCTAATACTGAGTTTAACTTTTACATTATACCTCTACTCTAACCTATATGGACCTTTACCTATGCGACCTCTCACCTATAGATTACGTATATTATTTAAGTGTAATATTAATTTTGTAGTATTCAAGTACCTCTATTTTGTCACGCCTAACTCAAATCTAATAATTATACCAATATTACAACATTTAGCTTTATATTAGTGTAATTTCAATACTCCAATTTTGACCATTATTATTGTGATGGACCTCGGAGATCTACCTATTACTAGTTTTGATAGTAGTGTAATGTGTATTAACCAATATTAATTTAGTATAATCTATTTTAATATAATAAATAACAAATTAAGTAACCAATATTCTATTTGGGGGAGTATTTTTTAAACATTAATTTTTATAACCGATATTCAAATTAAACTATCTATTTTGGTATAACACAAACATTACTTTTTTAAACCAAAATTCAATAATATATCTAGTTCACTTTACTAAAATAATATTATATTAGTTATTTATATTAGATTCTAAACCTATAAAATTAACTAGTCCAGGGATTAAATTTAAAATTAGTAGATTATATGAATTGTAGTCTATATTCTTCTTTTTATATATCTTTTTTTTTTCATTATTAAATTACTTCTATTTATATTGGTACTTCGCAAACTTTAAATTTTTACCAATTTCTATTTTTAATTCATATATATTTTTTATTCTATTACCATAATTTTGTAAATTAGATTAATAATGCCTTCACATAAACTTAGTAATTTTACCAAAATATATAAGTACTAAGACTACATATATATTTTTAATAATATAAAGAATGTGTTAACTATTACTTTAAACCTAAACATTTGGTTTCAGTTTTTAATTAGGTGTAAATAATAATAGTGAGATTTAAGATTTTTGTTTATTAATAAAATTTTAACTAAGTATGTGTAGATAAAATAAAATTAATATTGGTGTATATTGTATAAACTATTTAGACACATACCTAATTAGTTTCTTAATAATGACAATATAACATTTTTTATGCGACCAGTTTATAGGGTAAATCTATAAGTAATAACAACAGGTGTAAGAGTTCCTCCTAAAATATAAAATAAATATTACTTAATATATACAAATTGATAGTAAAAGTATAACCATTTTATAGACAAGGCTTCTAGTACACTTTAATTTGTTAATAATTTATATTAGGTTATATGTTATTATGATTGATCATTTATGGTACAGTTTCAACTTTTACTTACTAATACCAATATTGGTTAGGTTTCTGATTCTAAAATTTGATTTCTACTGGTATTAAACTTGACCCTCTTATTTTGGTAAAGTTTCAGATTGTAAAATAAATATTAAAATACCGGTTCTGCTGCGGTTTTTTTACGGTAATTAATAAATATATAAAATATTAAAATAATGTATAATCCAAAATATGTAATATTACCGGTGTTACCTCTAAACGTATATATTATAAATCTGTATATTATTGGTTAAATATTTAAAAATTGTTAAAATTTGTATATCTAACAAAACCTCCAAAATATCTGTAAATAGTGGTAACGTGTGCGACATTTAATACCTGTTGTTCTCTCATAAACCTAAATTTAAATATAATTTACCCGCAATTTTACCCAATATCACGCAACATATTTAAAATAGAATATATGCAACATATCGCTTCGCTTGGTTTCAGTTTCCCGGTATAAATTAACTATTACGAAAACCTAAATATTAAAATAACATGTGTAACATTAGATATTACCCCAAAATCTATAGCGGCCGCGATAAGGGGCATTAGGGTTTTTACGTTTATCCAAAC